CCCCAAAACCCCAAAACCCCAAAACCCCTTTTGTTTTATATAAATTTGAACTTGAATGGAGGTTAAAGCTGAAGTCGTAGAAAAATTACAGAAGCTAATTCATATGTACAATCAGGCGAAGGAGCTGACTAAGATTCAGCCTAAAGTATGTTTTTAGTATATTTTTTGATGATTTGTAGCTTAAAATCTGAATTTATTTGAACCAGAGTTAATTTTTGCAAATTTTTACTTCAGAGAATTTTGAATTTAGTTCTAATTCAGCATAATAATTTGGACAATATCTTATTTATAAAACAACAAAATAGCTTAAAGATGAAACAAAACTCCAAGAATTTAAAGAAGAAGTGAAAGAATTCAGCTTTGGAATCAATCAAACACCTGGTATGGCTCAAATTAAAAAATTATAATAACCTGGCCTAGCACTCCCAGTTGAGCCAAAAGAATTAACAAAAGCTGAATTAAAATAAGCTTGATAGCTCGATTCTCTACACAGAAGCAAACGAAGCCATAAAGGAAGCTCAAAAACTCTCAAACAAAGTTGAAAGTGGAGAAAACATCATTTTCAAAGACTCTTTCTCCGATCTAAAATAGCGAGATTACCCAGCGTAAAGAGATTAATCAATGCCTTCAGAACATAATCAAGGACCTCCAGGACAAACTTGTTGAAAAATAAGGACAAAACTAATAAATTAAATGAGAAAATCACCCAGAGTAAGTTCGTGACTAATCCCATCAGAGAAGCAAGAGATCAAAGACCTTGAGGAAAACTTTGAGGAACTTAAAACTCGCAAGGAGAATGAAATCGCCCAAGAAGCCAGTAAAGCTCATGTGATGAAGCAAGAGATCTTTAAATTTAAGAGGAAGATTGATTTTAAAGACCAACAGAGCAGGCTTACGTATTACCTCACAGAGAAACTCTCTGAGAATACAGCAAGGATCTATAGTGAGCAAAGGAAGAAGGAAATCACAGAACAGCTTATTACAGAAGGAATCGAGCTCCTTGAAGCAAAGATTCAGGAAGAAGAGGACAAATATCAAAATATTGACTCTATAGTGAACCCTGTACAACAGAGAATTGAAGAGCTTTTACAGAAAGAAAGTGAGTTCATGGAGCAATACACTAAAGGTATACATGAGTTTATAGGAGATGCTGATATTATATAGAACATCAAGGCATTGGGAGAAGTGACAGTGACACTGAGTAAATAGTTCAATTTCAATAAAAGATATTAAATTGGGGTTTTGGGGTTTTGGGGTTTTGGGGTTTTTGGGTTTTGGGGTTTTGGGG